ATCTTCTCCATCTAAACTTATTAGTTGAATTTTCTCTGTTGCAGGCTCGTTCAGGATCAAGACCGATGGCTGCTTGAAAGGGAATTCGGGAAATGCTAGCATTGGAGGGATTCTAAAAGATGATAGAGGATACTGGAAGGAAGGCTTCGTTAGGAGAGAATCAACCAGACTACAGCCTCAAAGCTGAACTATGAGCAGCCTTTAAAGGCCTTCAGATGGTCCATAACAGAGGAATCAACTGTATCCTTGAAACTGATTCAATGGATACCTTCAACCCTTTTACTAGGAGCAAGATAGACTACCAACCTTCCAAAACCCTCATCGAGGAATGTAGATACATCATCAATGCGAATAACATCATCCCAAGGCACAAGTCGAGGGAGGGTAACCAATGCGCTGACTACCTTGCCAAGCTAGGATCTGAACATTTGGCTGATTACATCTTCTTTGAGCAGCATGTGACGCCCCAAAATCTAGGGGTCCGTTGATTACCCATCAACCCATAGAATACCCGTGGATATTGAGTAACTCGATATCACCCCGTTATGCCTCATTTACCGAGATCCTTAATTAACAAAATTTCGACAGAATCTCCTTTGTACGAGAAGCTCTACCCAAAACACAACATGTGCAATATACATTAACATGACCCGTCCGAGGCTCCATATAACACAATGACCACACATGGTCCATTTATAAGTAAAACTTGGTCACACCGGATTCAATTATAATTAAATATTGGCCACACTAGGTCCAATCATCCATATTTATATCAAAACATGCAAGGTTAGTTTAACAATAGTCCATATAAATTCTATTACAATTTAAAAGATTACATGCTTAAAACATTCTTTCCACAAATATTTTACATCAACATAAAATAAAGCCACATTCGGCTTTCTTCAAACATGAGGGTCCAAATTGGAGCCATCCACTGGTGTACCTCTCCCACCTGAAATATTTTTCATATAGGGTGAGTCAACGCTCAATAGAAAAACTTCTACAAAGGCTACTCCCCACCTAAAAATGCATATGTAATGCGCACATGCCACAAACAACTTCTTCCAAATAAGAATGTGTTCTTCAAGATAGAATCTCATGATTTCATGCCAAGTAATGAGATGAAACTCACTCATGCATGTTATCCCGAGCCCACATCGACTCTCACAACACAATACGACTCATATGTGTAAAATAAACGTCTTTGATGAAATACGTCCAAAGATCATTTTGAAATCAACTATATGTCATAAAACCAATTCATTCTTGGATATTTTCCATCAAATGAATAATTTATATATCAAAATCATGTGCCTTTATGGGGTATCGGATTCAAGAATCGCACCTCCGGCTCCGTACGCCGTTACACTTTTCTGGAATTTCACCGCAGGGGAGTGTATAACCAAGTCGCCGGGTCTTGCATCCGAGAGGGAATCTACCCCTTCTTGTTATACCCGACACAAGTTTTTCTCACGTGCAACCCCTTCTTGCTATACCCGACACAAGTTTTTCTTTCATGCAACCATATGACTCATTCGGATTTTCAACCCAACTTTCCCGAGTCCACCCATTAATCACCAAGAATGGTGTTTGATTAATCATTCATACACCCACCCACACTCATGACTTATGCCCATGAATGTGATGTCATATTTCCGTGCATATGCAATGTGATGCACCATTGCACAACAACATAATGTTCAATATGCTATGAATAACATATAAACAATTTCAACATATCCATGGTAAGTTATGTTCTAAACATATAGATACCAAATTTATCACAATGTCAATATAACACACGCATGCATATGCATTGACACTTTTTTATAAAATAATTCCAAACATGTTATCACTATCTTTATGTCAATAATATACTTAATTACAAAGGCAAATTATAACACAAAACAGCCCATGTACTAGCCCGCATAACAACCCACAAAAAATCAGCCCAAACAATCCGTAAAGTGGCATAAAAATAGTCCTTAAAGTGACCTAAAAATAGCCCACAAAGTGGCCTAAAAATAGTCCGCATTAGGGTCCAAAAACAGTCCACATTTGGGCACAAAATCAGTCCACCTTTGGGCACCAAAAATAGTCCACTTTTTCATCCAAAAACAGTCCATTTTTCCATCCAACAATAGACACAATTTCAGCCCAAAAATAGGCCTAAAACAGCCCCTTAAACAAGTATAAAACAACTCTATGATTTCAACCCAAAAAAGGTCATATAACAGTCCCTAAAACAGTCTATAAACAGTCATATGTCAGTCCAAAATACAGTCATGTTTCAGTCAACAAAACAACCACTTAAGGTAGGAGTAAAACCCAAGTAGGAAGAACCCTACCTCTTGAAACGTAAAGAATTCATAGGAAGGCTCAAGAACAAGATTCAAGCCCAAAGCTTAGATTTCTCCAAAATCCTCCATTTGGATCTTCGGTGAAAATCTTTGTTTTTGGTACCTACGCATAGATCGACTTTAATTCTTGGCCCGACGAATTCCGACCGATGAAACTTCGAGAATCAGCGGAAGAAAGCTTAAAAAACATATTTTCTCTCTTTCTCTCTTCTCACGCCTGAACCAGCCGGCCTCTTGGGGAAGAAAATCTGATTTTTTTCAGATATTATGCCCTTTTTATACTTTTAAAGACTTGACCCTCGTCGCGCCAACTGTCTTTGTTTGTTCGGGTCCGTTTTTCACTCCGAAATGATTAAATTTCTTACCGGTTTAATCTCAAAATATTTTATATGAACTTTATTTAAAATATTTTTTAAATTTCAAAATTTTTTATAAAAATTCGTTTTTGGGAGTCACCGGACACCCGTCACCTCGAAAAACGTAAAAATTCAATTATCTCGAAATTCGACGAAATTTGTCTGGATAACTAGATTTTGCGAGACGAATTCAACGGTAAGGTCCGTTTCATCATCTGAGGTCTAAAAAAATATCATTTTTCAACCCGCACTATAATGACAAATTACCATTTTACCCCCCCCCCCCCCCCCTTTTTTTTTATAATAAAAAGTTCAAAATTTTCTCATGTTTCACACAGCCTGTGTCTTTTATTTTTCCTTTTCTCACAGTAGATATTACTACTGTTTATTTTAAGAAATATTATTTGAACCTAAAAATTTGATCTAATTTGTTGGCATAATGATGCGGCTTCAGCACAACCATTAGATCAACACTAAGTTCTAATGTTTGATGACCCCCACAGTCAATCCAAAGATTATAGTAAATTAGGTCAATAAATTAGGTCCTAATAGCATTGCTCTTTATTTAATAAGTGAACCCAGGTAACTGAGTTTCCCACCAAAGCACCAAAAAAAAAAAAAACCTCCTCCAACAGGTTTGTTGAAATCCACTTTCATGGATTTAATCTTCCAGGTTGGTTAAAGGCCGAGATCTTAATATTAGGTTTAAGAGTTTTAATTAAATATAAGATTAAGGGTGTATTTGTTAACCTAAATTCAACATTTAAAATAAATATATTCGATACTTATTAATTAAGTCCATTTGATAATTATAATTTAAACTTTTCTAATATGTTAAGTGTTCTTTAAAAATAGACTACAATATTAAATAGAAAATTCCTTACTTAATTTTGAAAGTTGAAAACACTCCGCAAAACCTCTTTAATAATATTTAAAATATGACAATTATGGTCTAAAATATTTTACAATCCTATTAAAATTTTAATTATTTTTTTTCCAAAACCTGTATCCTATCTATTCTCCTAACTGATCGTCTTCTTCAACGAATAATAGGTAAATTTTTTCGTTGCCTTCTACTTTTTTTTTTCTCCTTGTCTTGTCCAACAAAAAAAATATATATAATTACATATATACACAATTTCACACACATTCGCATGCACGCACTAACTACACACACATGTTTTTTATTAGAAAAAATTATATTTTATAAATATTTTCAAATTGAATAATAAAAATTAATTATTTTCAGATATCAACTTTGTATAGTTATCAAACAGTTTGTTCAATTCAGTATTTAAATTTTAATGGGTACCAAACGGTCCACAAATTTAGACTACAACTTTCAACTTTTAAACTTTAATTTTTAATTTTATTAAACACCACCTAAATGATTCATTGATATCGATTTTTTAAACATTTAAATTTTATATTGCTACATCCTGGCTTAAAACACCATGACTACAAATTTTTTCGCAGTTCGACAGAGTAGGAATGCACTTTGGACGGGCTAATCCGATTTCAACCCGAGCCCAACTTGAAAAAATTAGGGCTTGAGTTTGAATTTTTAATACTTGAGTTGAAAAAACTCCAACCCAAATTCAATTTAGGCGGGTCTCGGATTGAAGCATCGGGTTCAACCTGAATTAATACTATATAAAGACAATTTTATCCTAGGATTACTATCTAGTCTGCGCCTCCCTTCCTCAAGACCTTCACTCACTCTCACTCTCACTCTCACTCTAAGATTTGTCTCAACGCTCAGCCCTTTCTCAGCCTCCTTCTGAAGGAGTCCTTCGTCTTCGTCAAAGTCTCAGCCCTCTTTGCTTCCGCTGTATGATTGTGGTTGTTTTATCTTAAACATTGAGTTCCTAATATTATGGTTTTTATATTAAAAACTTGATTGAAATTGTTGATTAGTAATTTAGATGAATATTATGTAATATATATATATCAAGTTTAGTCTAAACCGCTTAAAATAACAAATTTATTTTGGGCTCAACCCGAACTCAACTCGTAAAGTAACTCAAAATTAGTTATAAATCATTAACCCGAATTCAACTCGAACCCACCCAAATTAAATTCGAACATTGTTCGAGTTAAGTCCCTCAACCCAAAGTAAGATTAGGGTTAAAGTTAAAATTAAAATTAAAGACTATACATATAAGATTGAACTGGAGTTAACTATCCAACTCAACCCAACCCACCCGCACCCTGCGGCAAAGCGGCCTCCGCGTAATATATCCCAAAAGTATCACGGTTCTTCTAAAACCCTATTCTTAACGTTTTCTTTTTCTGTCTAAAACCCTAAAACCCCTTTTTGAATTTGTTTTGACAGCAGCTTGTTACTTCGCACTGCAACTCTCAATTTCATAAGTTATGCTTCCGCTCTTCAATCCCAACCAAAGTCAAACTAATGGAGCCATTACTTCAGCTCCCCAACGGGTGCTCTCTCTCTCTCTCTCTACACACTCACTCATGTATATATTCATAATGTTTTGGTTGTTCTCTTTGTATTAACTTCATGATTTTGATTAGTTAATTTGATGTTTTAAATCAACAGGTTATGCAATCTAGCAATTTTCATGGTAACCCAAGTAATTTATTGCCAAACTCTGCCCAAATTCAGCCTCAAATGGGCATGATCAATTCTCAAGTTGCAATTCCTTTCAATAGTTCAAATACCCATTTGAGCAATGGGAACTTAGCAATGCCCAATTGGCCAGTTCAAATACCTGCGCCTTGTTTCATGAATGCACCTAACCAGATTTTCCCCTTGCAAAATGGTATGCATCTTTTGGCTCCACAGAGTTTGAGTACGGTCGGCTTGAATTCTTCTCAATTACCTGGTCAGTTATTTGCACAGAATTCTGGGAACCCACCTCAATTCTTCAACCAGAATGTCAGTTTGCCAAATGGGCAGTTCTTTTTGCAGAGTCCCATGCAAAATATGAAGCAATTTGCTCAAATGCCAATGCCAAATCATTCTCAAGTTGTTTCTGGCACTCACCCTCTGTGCCTGAATAATCGAGGTTTTCAGGGTATTGGCCCTCAAAATTCCATCTTCGTTGCTAACCCACAATTCGGCCTGGTTCATTCTAATGGAATTGTGCAACCCAATTTTCAAGATCACCATAGTTCAATGTCACCAACAGTGAATGCGAATGCACCAAACCAGTTGCATAATAGTACTCCTCAACTGCAAGGGAGCTCACCTTCACAGCTTGCTTCTGGTTCTCTTCAAGGACAACAAGACCAGAACAACTTTCGTCCTGTTTCATCACAGTCACAGGTAGCTTTTATTTGGTTTATTCATATTATTGTCTGATCAGTGTATCCATGAAGTTTGATCAAAACTTGATGTATTTGACAAGGAATTGTTGTTTATTCTCTTGCTAAACACAGTTAAACTACTACATTCGAGACTCAACAGTACACAGTATTTGAATCACTTTTGCCCATATTAAACTACAATAATTGAAGCTAAAAATACATGATATCAAATCATTTGGGAATGCAGTACAAGTGAACTGTAGGAATTATAATTGGTAGAAGTAGTTTCCTTATGTAGTGAACGAAGCAAGGAGACAGAATGTTGGGCAATCTGTTGTCATGCTGAGACAATCTGTGATTCGAAACCAGCAGAGCTCAAATTGAGTTGCAATGCAAAATAGTGAAGAGGATGAGAAAAGAGTAAGGCAAGAAGGAAGAGAAAAGTATTGTAGAATCTTAGTATCTTACCATGGACTGTGTCAAAAGAGGGATATAATTATCAGCTGCAAAGATGAATGCTCAGGTGCAATGTGGAGAATATTTCTCTTCAGGGGGACTTCTGTTTTGCTTTTTCCTCCTTTGAAATGAAAGAGATGAAAAAATAAAATTCCTAATTTCCAACACAAGAAAACTCAAACTCATCTGGCAATAATCATGACCCATTATTTTGCTAAACCCACTCTGTGAGAGAATTGATTTTGAGAAATACTTGGGTTCCAAGTATGAGAGCATTTATTCATGTTTTTTCTGTGTGCGTATACGTATATTCTATTTGCAGTTATTGCTTATAAAGTTCATTGTCTAGCTTGCAGGAAATTCATTTCTTGTTCCTCATTGAGGAGGGCACCAGATCATTCCAGCTTTGGTAGTCTATGTGAAAAATTTCTTTTCATGTGTTTGACCTAAGGGTCTAACAGTCGATTGCTTCCATTCTCAGCAGAACCATGATTTCCAATCGAATAAAGTGCTAGATAATCCCATTAAGTCAATTATGTGAACTTTGACACACCAATCTGTGGATTAACCAACCCAATGATGCCAAATTGTGGACTAAAAGCAAATTTGCCACCTTGGTTTGGTGGCTACCTGGCTAATCCGTATTAACTCATGATCTATATTTTAAATCTATGAGGAAATCTGTCAGTATTTTTGTCTATGTGCAAGTGTGCACGTACTGTACACATGTTTCTTTCTATGTACTTGTCGCAAACGCTTTCTTTAATATGTTTAATAATACATTGTATACTATTTAGTCGGTGAGCTATGTTGATTGTGGGTAATTGAAGTTTTGTTAACTGTTGCAGGGGAATCCCAGAAAAGATATTGGGTTGAACAAATTCAGTAGTAACTGGAAAAATTCTCAGAAGAGAAACTTTACAAGGAATCCAAAAGGCAATGCATCGCATAGTGGGTGTGTTGTTAAGCATAATTTTATTATTCCATATGCCTTGGAGAAAAGGTTGGATGGATTGACTTTTTTTTTGCACTGATTTCACTTGCTACAGATATATGAAGTCCCATTTTGGTTCTAAGCAAGACGCAAAAGGAAAGTTCAATCATAATGGACATGGGGTAAAAGGTCGGGTGTTTGGTACTTAGATACTGTTTTGAAAGTTTCTGAACTTTTCTGTTTGGGTCATTTGTAACAAGGTGTTTTTATTATTCGCCCTTATGAAAGTTCAGGTCTCATAAGGGACATGGTATTTGGTAGTTAGACACTGTTTTGAAAGTTTTCTGAACATTTCTGTGTGATTCATTTGTAAGAAGTTTTTTTATTATTTGCCCATTGCTCGTGTATTCTCTGCTTGTATATGGCTGGAACTAAACATGATATTAGGGAGGTTACTGACATGCTATTTCCACTGTTGTACAGTCTATTGTTCATGCTGCTCTAACAGTGGATAATGTGGTAGCGATTAATTATTCACACTCATGTTATAATGAACAGACTTTTTCGGTCTTTCTTCTTTCTATGTAGCTTTTTATTAGAGATTGAGGCCAGTTGATCTTAAGGTTAGGATTTATTGTGCTCAAGGTGGAAGTCCATAAATGGGGTTTTAGTAATTTTTTTGGAGTAAATGACCATTTGAATATATTGATTTGTGGAATTGTGATTGCCTTCTTTCTCTTTATCTCTCTCTCTTTTAGTTACTCTTATATCATATTAAGGGTTGCTCACATGTGGGTTTACCAGTTGACTACTGTTATATACTTGCAAATTAGGAAAATCCCAAAACTTGGAGAAAGTATCTAACGTGCTTGTTTTTTCCACTTTCCTGTTTCTTTTTCATTCATTCATAGTTTGTTACTTTTGGAACTCTTGTCTTGCAATATCTTTGACACAATTTTTATGGATGAACCACCTATATCTTGCATACTATGAAGTACGGATATAGGTACGATACGATATGAATATGACTATATGATAAAATCTAAAAAAGTAGGGTACGAATACAACTAAAATATGTCTATAATAAAATATATTTCATATTTTCACTATTATCTACCGACTTAATAATTATATGTTTTGGTGATTCTTTAACATAATAAACAAAATTATTAATTTTTATAGTTTCAAAAAAGTATAAATTGTATCATTATGGTATATTCACAAAGTAAAGTGACTAATTAAAAGAATCAAAATTAATATTTACTTAATTAGTTTGTTAAGAAGTATTTGTTACTAAGATTATAATGTACTAGATTCATTTTATGTTCTTTTGATATGTAATAATAGATAATACTTAAAAATGACTTCTGTGTTTTCAAATTCGTATGAATTTTATTTATGTATTTTATGGTATGTGAATTCGAATTGAAATGTTAAAGTTTAAATAAAAAGTTATACATATTGCTCCAATACAAAAGTATCCGCAAAATTTTCAAATATTTATTATTATCCCATATGTAGGAGGGGTATCTGATATGTATCATCTAGTATCCGACGAGTATCGTATCCGATATGGATATACCAATCTCAACGAAATATCCGTATTTCATAGCTTGCATGTATAGTTAAGTTAGCCATTATTTAATTCTTGGCCCATATATTGCTCAGGGTGCTTTAATATGTCCTTATCTTTTTTCCTGCCTCTCTTTCTCCAACAATAGGTGATAGCCATGATGGAGCTAGAAATTCTGGTCTGACTAACTCTACCAACCAAACTCAAGTGGAAAAGAAAAGGTAATTCATGGCTCATTTGGTGCTGTGTTTTTTTTTTTTTCTTTCTTCACCTGAATGTATGTAGATAACTCTAGTTGAGTTTATCGTTGTATGCAACAGCAATTGTCCTGGGAAATCAAATTAACATAGCTGAGGAAGTTTTAATATTCTTCTTTGGGTCGTTTTAGCATTTCTTTTGTTATTCTTGTTCAAATGTGGCCATTTTATAATCTTGACTTCAGTTCATATGAGGGATTTCTTCGTGCTGAAAAATCTTTTCAAAAAAGCGGGAGCTAGCAGGCCTGAGATTTTGAGAAAGGTAACATATGATATAATGCCATTGCTTGACGACCATCCTCTTCCACTTCGTATGTCCAAGTTTCCCCCTGCACTGCACGATTTGGACCACTGCCTCCAGGCAAAAGGAAAGTTAAAGATGATTCTGTTCTACATCACATGTTAAGCTGCTATTGATTGCGGTTATATGTTTGATTCCATTGTGGTTATTAGACCATTGGAAACATTGTCAAAGTCTTAATTGGCTAGGTTAAGGTATCAAATAATGGTATCCATGCCATTAGGACACTAATTTCCAGTTCATTGTAGTGATACTTTATATTCACAACCAACTTTTTTTTTGTGACAACAATTGAAGACTCACTGATACACTCAAATAAACTTGTGACTTCCAAAACTCAATGTTTCATAATTTATGGAATTATTGTCATCATGATATACTAATATGGCTCGATAGCACTCCTCAACTCCCAATCTCTTAACAAGTCCCCCTGCTGTACAACGTTGACAGTGATGGTTCATTATTAGTGACAACAACGGCCTCCAGCTGCAAACCACTAATTGGGTGCACTGTAGGTTCCATTCTTATCTTCTTTTCCTATTTCAAAATTTAAAGATTTGAAACATTCATCAGAAGTTTAGGATGTGTCATTGTGTTTCATTTTTTTAAAGGGCTTATTGAGGAGTTGAAGTCTTAAGTTGGTGTTGCTATCATTGAAGAATCTAGATGGGGGCATAGGGGTCATGGGCTTCCAAAGTTTTAGGAAGCCTCTCTTAGTTAAAACCTTAAAATTACAATAATATTGTTCTAGAATTCCTGATACCGCCCTCCCTCTCAAAAAAAAAAAAGAAGTAATCCAATATTTTAAGATGTGCACAAAAAATGCTTACTTTGAAACCTCCCCCAATCCCCCCCCCCCCCCCCCTCTCTCTTCAATGAATATTTTGGCTTTGCACCTGCTCCCTGTTACACCCTTTTCTTGATACTTTAAACCTATAAATAATTAAATAGTTGATTTGGGTTGTTTTAGCCCAGGATTGTTGAACCTCATATATAAATGACTACCTTTCTGGCATTCATGAATGGAAATTCATTGGGAAATAATTCAGATCTCCTGATGGTGACTTATTTTTCCCTAGATTCTATTGCTAACATGATTTGTAGTTGACAACTACAAAAGGATTGCAAGAACCTAACATTAGGATTGAATGCCAACATCATGTTCAGCATTGGCCACCACCTTGTTTTCCTTCTTATCCTTTTCTATGGGTGTATATCAAATCAGAGCCCCTTTATTGTGTGGTACTTCCTTTATTTGTTTCTCCTAATATTTCCCTTTTTTCCAATACTATATTCTTTCTATTGTGTCTCCATGTCATTTTTAAATTTTGTTTACTTCTCCTTCAAATAAAGATCTCTATCTTTGAACTACACGGAACAAGAAATCCAACAGTGGCGCAAAGAACGCAGGAAGAATTATCCATCAAAAGCCAACATGGAGAAGGTTTGTTATCGGCAACTTACGTATCATTAATTTTTACCTGAACTTGGCATCCATGTAACCATAAAATTTCACTCCCTGCAGAAGCTGACAAAGCCCGAGTTCACCGACAAAGATACCACGTTATGGCGTCAGGTACAATGATTTACTATTACATTATAGAAAGGAACTGAATACTTGGGGATGGAAACAACTGGGGGATGTGTTAATTTTAGTTGGATTTAGTTCAATGAATCATAAAGCAGTCCATATTTTACCATTGTTTGACTATTGAAGTTGCATTAGATTCTACATAACATGTATCTAGTGATACAAACTGCAGAGACAATTTTGTAGCTTGGATTTATCTGCTGTATGATAAAATGTTACATGAATCTGATTTTTTGAAATCTCTAGCTGGTGTTCAGATCCTGAAATTGAAGTGTATGAGACGGAAAGGGATTTTTTAAAATACTTGAGTTTGCCTTCAGTCTTTCAATCCCTTTTCCCCTTCCCCATGGAGGCAGAATGTTAGGAGTTGTCTTGAGATGACTCCTAAACTTTCTCGTGAATTCATGCTGTTAAACTTTTAGTAACAGTCTTGAATTTCTATAATATCCCTCATTATTTTTGGAAAATAATCATCATACCCCCATTAGACAAGTAATTTACAAACCCTGACCTTTATATTACTGGGGAAACAATAATGATTGTGCAAAAGAGCAGCGTAGAAATTCAAAATCCAATATTTTTTTGATTGGAGCTTGAGTCATTGTTGTCAGCATTTGTGAGAGCTGGGTGGGTGCAAGTTAGGGTTTCTTCAGCGTTTCGATGACGGAGAAAATTGAAATTCTGGAATCTTTGGTTTGAGATATGGCTGCTTTGAAGATTCTTTGTGTCAGTTGAATCTTAGTTGAGAATCTTCATGGCAGTTGAATCAATTGAAATTTGAAACTATATGAGTATTGAGATTGATCATCTCTATGTGTGTATTGTTTGCAGTTCTGCATAGCATTGAAGCTTTGATTCGATGAAACTTAGATAATCGAACTATGAAGATGCTTATTGAAAGAGTTTTAAAAAAGTGGGAAGAGAGAGAGAGAGAGAGAGAGGGGATCAGAGAATTTGATTTCATTCAACACAAATAGAGGGCCATTGTGATGATGGGGAATCTGATTGAAGGATCAATGCAGGGCAATAGGGGGAGAGGGGAAGAGAGGTGGAAGCATTGGACCTTCAAATGTGGTTAAAACAGGCTAGTTGAGAAACTCAACATAAATTTACACAGAATATGGATCTTTTAGTGTAGTAAGAAATAAAAGCTGCATCTTAGGCTACAATGGTTCATAGCTTGACGCTTAAAGTAAGCATGCTAGTCCTGCTGTGGGACTCTAAAAGTTCCTTGCTTCTGCTACATCCCAGCCCCATCACAAGTTCATTTTTGTTTGGTTGTTCTCTATTATGTTAGTGAAGTATTTATTTTGCAACAATTAAATAGGTGTATGAAAAGAATGAATTAGTAATGTTAAATGAGCGTTCTTTTACACTTAGAGATGTTACCAACAAACATACTCTTATCTAAATAGATGCATTGCTTTTTCAGACACACTTCCAATATAAGCATACACTAAGTATCCAGTATACCGATCGTAATCACTAAAGGCCGCTGGAAGATGGCAGAGGCTGTCGTCATGGCCTTAGGATAGCATTTCTACTGCTCTTTTGCTGTTTTCATCTTCCTCTTCTTTTTTTTTTTTTTTAATAAAAAAGATCAAACATGTCCAGAATTCAGAATAAATCATTGTGACAGTTTGATGTGTCTGCCACGTCTCCCGAGCGTATCAATGTCCCAAACATGTCTGACACCCTGATATAGATGTCTATGTTTCCTTGGTGTCAGCACCAATGAAATTTAACGATTACATTCAAAGATAAGATAGTGAACTATCAATTACGTGCTGGATACGCTTACTGCTGATTTTTTTTTGGTGGGGGGGGGGGGGAGGGGGAGGTGAGGAGAAAAACTATAAAACACATTCGTAGCCAGTATTCTTTTTCCACAGCTAACCACATTCAGAGGGGAAAATGTTGTTAGTAGATTTTATTTTTTTACAAGGTTATACTAATTACTAAGCAGAGTTCACTTTAGTGGAGTCCTTTGGTTCTGAAACAGATCAGTGAGGCATCTTTTTGTCCTTGTTATCATATATCACGCAGCAGTTATTTTTCATCTTTCTGTGCTAGATGGAACACCACATCATTTCATAGAATGCCTTCATAGATTTGAAAAAAGAATCTCCCGAGGTACATTGGCTGGTAGGGCTTCAATCATTGATTTCTCAAGCTCCCAATTTTCTATCTAGCAAGAGATGCGCCGATTGATCTGATGCACCTCATTTATTTTCCAGTATCTATGCTGATTTTTCCTTCTTAAGATTTTTTTTTTCAAAGTCCACATTGTGGTAGTAAATTTGTCATTTTGTTTGCAGCAACTCAAAGAAGTTTTAGCAAAGCAGGCTGAGCTAGGTTTTGAAGTTGCAGAAATACCATCATGCTATCTATCAGACTCGGAGCAACAAGTGCATGGAAGGGTACGGAATGAAGGTGCTTTGGGGAAGAAGGGAAGATTCAAAAATAAGTTCAATAAAAGAGGAAGATTCCATCAGAATGAACGTTACACCCAAAAGCAAAGGTCAGGAGACCATGATTCATCTAAAAAGCACGATCAAAACAATCAGTTAACCAAGAAGCAAAGGTTGGAAAACAATTATTCATCTGCCACACCTATAGTGAAGACAAGAGAGCCAACGCTTTTGCAGAGGCTCCTGAGTTCAGATATCAGGAGAGATAAGAGCCACATGTTGCAGGTTTTTAGGTTCATGGTGACGAATTCTTTCTTCAAAGAGTGGCCTGACAAGCCCCTGAGATTTCCTTTGGTAGTCGTTAAAGACATGGAGGCTGAAAGTGAGTTGGTTGAAGAGAAATCTAAGCAGGTTGAGAAAGTTGATTTTGAAGGCATTGACAGGACAGCAACTATCAAAGAATCCTATGATAGGGACGATGACAGCAGCAACAATGGCAATGGAAAAATCAATGCGCAAGTCCCAAGAGCAGCTAATTACATTAGGGGAACTGGTACTATTGAAGAGGAACCCGAGGGACCTGAAGAAGAAGAGGGAGAAATCACCGACTAGTCTGTGTGTGTGTGTGTTTGTATAAGAATATTCTTGAATGATGTTATAGTATATGCTTTTATGTTTGGAAATTTGAGGGAGGCGGGAATTAGATCATCATCAATTTAGGTATAAATAGAATGTCTGGCTTGATGCAGGACAAGCATCCCCAACCAAGTGAAACTAAGGATCCGAAAGAGTTTATGATTTGATTTATGTGGTTGTGACACCTCCGTGTATGAAATACCACAGAAGATGCAAGTCACTGGACATGAATGACTTCATAAGCATATCATTTGGTCAGTGGTAAATTAATTATGTATTTCGATTGTATTTGGAGGAGCTACCTCTGTTTGATGAATTTCAGCAGTTCAGAAGACTGTGGTGCACAGTTTGCAGCAGAACGATCAAGAAGTCGAAGGATCATTGATTGTGATTGGAACACAGACAGTTACATGTCACAAACACGTCGGCATAATCATTAAGTGAGAGAACGGACTTGGAGAGCATGTCGGAGACAACACCAGGATCATAAGCTATCACTTAAAACTTCGTAGAATTCTAATTATGGAGGACTAAACTTGAATTCTTCTATTGATGGTTTTAAGGTACAAAGAGTTTACAAATATATAGAGTTTTTGTGTAACTAATCTACCACATTTTATGTTATCTTGTTACAGAGAAATTAGAATTGAACTTTAACGAAACGACTATTTCTGTTAGCCAGCTTAGCAGTCCCTAGGATCAGGCTTCTCCCCTTTGTGCGCATCTGGCTCGGTTTCATTGAAAACGTTTGTTTCAACACGACCCCGCAATCGAATGGGAAGATCATGGACATGAAGATTGTGTTGGATGTAATCCAAACTTGGTTAAATTTTCACGTATTTTTGGTTGGACTTTGTTAATTTAAGTTCTTGTTGAACAAATCATATGCTGACTATTAGTGTGCAAATTGTTATCTATAAATCAGCAAGTTACTATTTTGTAGGATATAGTTGGAGTAAAAGTAGGAAAAATTGTTTACAAATTGGTCTATTTAAGAGTCATGTAATCTGCAAGTTGTATGTAACTCAGAATTTTTCCAACAGCAAATAAAGTTATATTTTCTCCTCTGTTTTTAGTCTATCATTTCCTTTTCTCTGTTTCTTGTGTTTCCTACAGATTGGTATCAGAGTAGGTTAAGAGCTAGAAGTGAGCAGCAGAGTTCCAACGTAGCAGTGATTGCAAAGTGTTTGTGGAAAAGTTTAAGTGAATATTGTGTCATGGCAGGTAACATGAATAACAATTCTTTGCAATACTTTCCTATATTTAATGGTAACAAGTATCAATTCTGGGCTGTGAAGATGAATACTCTATTTACATCTCATGATTTGTGGGACTTGGTAGAGAATGGGTATGAAGATTTTGCTGAACAGGAAAGATTAACAGTTGCTCAGAGGAACGAATTGAAAGAGAAATAGAAGAATGATGCAAAAGCCTTGTTCATGATCCAACAAGGCTTGGATGACACCATATTTCCAAAAATCATGGCTGCCACTACATCAAATGAACCATGAGATTTGCTTCAAGAGGAATATCAAGGTACGTTGAAGGTAATTACAGTTAAACCTCCAAAACTCTTCGCCGTGAATTTGAGAATTTGTCTATGAAAAATTCTAAAACTATTTAGGATTTTTTCTCAAGAGTTACTTCAATTGTTAATCAAACTAGATCCTATGAAAAGTTGTTGAAAAGGTATTACGGAGTCTTACTTCAAAATATGATCATAGTAGCAACTATAGAGGAATCTAAGGACCTAACCACTTATTCTTTGAATGAATTAATGGGTTCTCTTCAAGCACATGAACAAAGGTTACAGAGGATTGCAGAAAACACGACGGATCAGATGTTTCAGTCTACAATAGACAACAAAGAAGGTTCAAAAGTTTTTGGAAGAGGATATGGTGGAAGGGGCTATGGTTGTGGAAGTTCATCAAGAGGAAGAGGAAGAAGTCAAGGTAATCAGAGAAAATCTGATGGAGGTAACAATCAGTTTCCTTCTTTTTCATGTTCAATTTGTAAGGAAACCAACCATGTTGATAGGAATTGTTGGTATAAGGATAGAGATAAGGAACTCCCACAATGTTTTCATTGCAAAAAATATGGCCACAATGAAAAATATTGTCACCAAAAGGCTAAGGAGCAAGCAAATTTTCATGAAGAAGAACAAGAAACTGAAGATAAGTTGTTTCTTGCATGTCTTGCTGAAATGAATGATGAAACTAGATATTTAGAGAGTGGTTGTAGCAATCACATGACTGGGAATAAAAAATACTTTGTAGATCTTGATGAATCTGTCAACCCATAAGTAAGAATGGGTGATAACAACCAAGTCAAGGTGCATGGACTTGGTACTATTGCTGTTGATACAAAGAAAGGAAGAAAGCCCATTTATGATGTTATGTATGCTCCTAGGTTGGCTCAAAATTTGCTAAGATTGGGTCAATTGATGAGAATGGGCTATTATGCTATATTTGATAGTGATAAGTGTATGGTTTATGAGAAGAAAAGCATGAAGTTGATATTCTCTGTTCAAATGACAGAAAATAAAATGTTTCCTCTTTCATTTTTAAAGCTTCCATTTAATGCATTTAGTGCATGTGGTGAAGAATTTGTGTTGTGGCATAGGTGATATGGTCATTTGAATTTTGGTGGCTTACATCTATTGCATAAGATGAACATGACAGTTGGTTTTGTAGTTGTGAAATTTGATGGAAAAATTTGTGAAGCTTGTGTTTTTGGGAAACATCACGGTGAACAATTTATGGTTGGTAAAGCTTAGAGGGCGAATAGATCATTAATGCTTGTGCATGCTGATCTTTGTGGTCCAATGGAAACACTATCCTTGAATGGGAACAAGTATTTTATCATATTTGTTGATGATTAAAGTAGAATGACATGGGTTTATTTCTTGAAAGAAAAATCTAAATCTTTCTCTACATTCAAGAAGTTTAAGTCTCTAGTCAAAAAACAAAGTGCTCATTCTATTATTACATTGCGTACTAATTGTGGAGGTGAGTTTACTTCTCTAGAATTAAGTAGTTTTTGCAGTGATATGGGTATCCAAAGACAGTTGACAACAAGTTACACTCCACAACAAAATGGAGTGGCCGAGCGCAAAAACAAAACCATAGTTGAAGTGGCAAGAAGTATGCTAAAAGACAAGGATCTTTCAAATAGCTATTGGGTTGAAGTAGTGTCAACAGTAGTTTATTTGATCAATCGGTTTCCTACAAGGGTGGTATAAGGGCGGTGCAAGAGAGAACCCCATATGAAGCTTGGAGAGGAAAGAAACCCAGTGTAAGTCATTTAAGGATTTTTGATTCTATAGCTTTTGCTTTTGTGCCATCAGAGAAAAGACATAAGCTAGATCACAACAGTACAAAAGTGTATTTTCATAGGCTATAGTGAGGAGACTAAAGGATACCGGCTTTATGATCCTATTTTTGAAAAATTGATTATAAGCCGAGATGTTATATTTAATGAGAATGAAGCTTGGAATTGGAAACATGAAGAAAGAGTTTCTCTTGAACTAGTTGCTCCTATGATTCCTCCACCAAATTTGAGTGAGTCATCAAACTCATCTTGTGATTCAACCCCTCGAAAGGTAAGAATTCTTGCTAATATCTATGATTCATGTGAGTTTTCTTGTTTTGCTATGGAACCAACTTGTTTTGAAAAAGTAGTGACAATGAATGATGAGATTGAAGCAATTGAGAAGAATAACACTTGGAACTTGGTGGATCTACCTGCTAGGAAGGAAGCTATTTGACTCAAATGGATCTACAAGTCAAAGTTTAATTCTGATAGATCTTTACAAAGGTACAAAGCACAACTGGTTGCTAGGGGATTTGCACAACAACTAGGTATTTATTTCTTTGAAACTTTTGCACCGATTTCTAAGATTGATACTATTAGGACTGTTTTGGCTATAGCGGTTCAAAGGAATTGACAAGTTTTCCAATTGGATATTAAATCTACTTTCCTTAATGGAGAACTTGAGGAGGAGGTGTATATGATGCAACCCCAAGGTTATGAAATTGAGGGAAAAGAGCACAAGGTGTACAAGTTAAAGAAGACACTCTGTGGGCTCAAACAAGCACCAAGGGCATGGTATAACAAAATTGACAAGTATTTTTTGGACAATGGTTTGTGTAAAAGTGCAAGTGAACCTACTCTTTATGTGAAAACTCATGCCAATGATGACTTGTTAATTGTGTGCTTATACATTGATGATATGATATATACTGGTAACTCTACAAGGATGATCAAGGAATTTAAGGATAAGATGATGCAGAATTTTGAAATGACAGATTTGGGTCTTTTGCATTATTTTCTTGGAATTCAGGTGATTTAAGATTCAAATGGATTTTTTGTAAGTCAGAAAAAATATGCTTTAGATTTGTTAAAGAAATTTGGTATGTCAAATTGTACACCAGCAAAGACTCCTATGAATGTGAATGAGAAGCTTATTGTGGTAGATGGTACTGGAACTACTGATGAAAGGTCCTTTAGAAGTATTGTGGGAGGGCTGCTTTATCTCACACACACAATGCCTGATATTATGTTTTCTGTGAGCATCATCTCCAGGTTTATCAAAATCCAAGCAAGCATTATCTTGGGGCAGCAAAGAGGATCATGAGATACATACAAGACACTCTTGATTATGAGATTCAGTATACACAAGTCACTAACTTTAAACTTATGTCGTTTTCTGATAGTGATTGGGCAAGTTATATCGATGATAGAAAAAATACTACAGGCTATGTATTTAGTCTTGGTTCAGGAGTGATATCATGGACATCAAATAAGCTTCTCACTACAACACTTTCAAGCACTGAAGCTGAGTACATTGTAGCCACAACAACAGCTTGTCAAGCAATATGGCTAAGAAGAATCTTGTGTGATTTGAAAGAGAAGCAAGAAGAGGCCACACAGATGTTTTGCAATAACAAGTCAACCATTGCAATTTCAAAAAATCCAATACATTAAGGAAGGACGAAGCATATCGAAATTCGGCATCATTTCATTCGTGAAGTCGTGGCAACAGAACAAGTGCAGTTGGAACATTGCAACACTGAATAACAAATAGCTGATATTTTCACAAAAGCATTGCCTGATGAAAAGTTCAAGAAGTTTTGCGACATGATGGGAGTGCAGCCACAAGTTTGAATTAAGGGGGTGTTTGTTGGATGTAACCCAAACTTGGTTAAATTCTCACGTATTTTAGGTTAGACTTTGTTAATTTAAGT